TCATTCCACAAGTGACTTGGCCAGAGTGAGGAGGAGGAGGATACTGGAGTGAGCACAGCTTTGGGAATAGTGAGATTTTTTTTTTCCCACCCCTGGGTCAAGTACCATTCTTATCCACAAAATGATTCAGTAGAACAAACTGAGACCTCACTTCTCATTCCCACAGACAGGCAACAGGCTTATTATCTGGCAAGATAGTAAGTTTCTGAGAAGGGACAGACTGGAATCAGGTCTGCTCTTGAGGGCTTGCTAGAGGAACGCTTTATTGGCAGGATTATTGGGTAAATGAAGGCCTCTTCCCAGCTGGCAGCAGTCAGCAAGGGAGAACCAGCCTATGTACTTGTGCAGGTGTTTGAGAGCTGGGAACCCCCAGCAGCAAGATTCACCCAGAGGGCACACCCAGCTTGGGAACAGCAGCTGAAGACATTCAACACTTAGTGACCAGGTCCATTATTAACATGCTGGTTTTCTAAATCTTGACCTAAAGTCAGCAAGCTCCCAAAGCTGTTTATTCCTTAGATGTATCTCCTGCTGGCAAGTGCCTTCCTCCTTGTTCATCTACTTGGTGTCTCCACTTCAAGGATTCCAAGATTTCCTTGACAGAAAACAATACACATTCACTCTACAGCACGCACTAGTAAATTATTAATAAAGGGTGAACTTTTCAACCTTTTTTTTCCAGTGTTCAGCTTGCTGAAAAACACAACAGGAAACATGTTTCAAGGTTGGTCTGAAACGTTCAGAAAAACAAAAGAAAAAATCCTCTTGAACTAGATAAACAATAGCAGAAAGCAGGCATAAAGAATTTTACGTATGCTTGGAAAACTAAAGAAGAGCACCCTTCAGAAGCTTTGCACTTAAGTACTTCTGTCCAAAAATAAATTAAATTAGCACCTTAGGCAAAAGCTGAAATTTGTTCAGATGGGAAATAATCTCATGATGATGTGTGAGACACGAGGGACTTCCATTCTCATCTCTAAATTGGGTTTGTACCCTCATGCAACAAAAATGCCTCCCTCCTTTACCACGTCGACTGTCTCCTGGCAGAAATCAATACAGATGTGCCACAGGGCACACATCCAACAGGCGCAGAGCTACCCAGGAGCACCAGACTCACGGTGCAACACTGCAAGCAAAACTGGTACATGCACTGTTATATCTAACTTAACCACCCTCAAAATCATGCCTGCCCGAAAACTCTTGACAGACCTGCCAGATAACCAGGAATACCAAGCAAACCTAGAAAATAAAAAATAAAGACTTAAAAAGAGGATATTGTTCATAAAACTCAAATTACAGGTACTACAGAGGAGAAATAATGGATGAGAGCTCTTAGCCATGAGAACATGTTGAATATGAAGAATGTAGACAGAAGATGCCCAAATTAACCCATCCCGAACACACTGTAGCAACACCCCCTCTAAAACAAAACTATTTCCATTTTTTGGCCATTAAGTTTTCCACTACAAAACTATCATTTTAGAGGAAAACTGTCAATTTTCATAAAAGCTGTTGCACACAAATAGAGTCTCCCTTTCAGTAGAAACTTTCTGACCACTTATAACACACATATTAAGTCCATACCACAAAATAATCCCAGAAGTCCTCCAGATAAGATAAAATACCTTGGTTTGTTTGAAACAACTCCACTGGCAGGAAGCTACAGCAATGCATAATTTCTGGAAGAAGTGGACACTGTTTTCTAACACCATCAGTGCTGGATACCATTCACACTTTAAATCAACACCTTGTTTTTGGGGATGGGCCCTTTGGGCATGGCAACCTTGCAGGTTGCATAGCACCCATCTGCTCTGGGTCACAATTCCAAGTATCTCTAGCCAGTCACCATTCCAAATATCAATGTATCTAGGTTTAGTAACATTATTTATGAAGATCAGTTCCAAGGTAACACCTTTCAAAAGATCACAGATATTCCAACTGATGAGGTGAAAGAGAGAACTGCCAACATAACAGGTTATACCAATTCTCAGGAATAACTTGAATGGAAACAAATCAAAAAACCTTTTTTATTTTCAGTAATGTGAATACATAATTGCATACAAAAATAAAAATGTGTACCAAATTCAAATTGTTCTCGTATAAAATTTCCAAACGAAGTAGTATTAAAACTTGAAGCCACACAAGAAGAACCAAACTGTCTGCCAGCCACCTATTTCCTCTACGTTGTGGTAACTCATTTGCATCGCCTGGAAATCTAAAACGAGCTGTCAGCATAAATCACAAACGTTTTTCACTGTGACAATCACAACAGTATGTCAGTCTCCCACAAACAGGCAACTAGGAGGAGAGGTAATTAAAAGGCTAAAGTCATGAAAAAACATTCTTCTGAGTCTACTTTAAGAGACCAACTACTCCTGCGTACCTGAGTTTGAAGTGGGGCTAGGGAAGGCCACTGTTCAAGGTGGCCAAGGTTGCTTTTTCTAGAGAAATTGAAATTAACGCTAAACATGATCTTGCCCACAAAAAGACCAATGTTCACATCAGTACCTCTGACAGACTGCAGTACTGTACACATCTTAATGGTCATCACGGCTAAAAAACTTGGGACAATGAACAAACCCTAATGCTTAGCATCCTTTTCTCAAAATCTTGTATGTTCCATGTTAGCTTCATTAAGAAATACTAAGAAATTTTTGGTAACAGGTTAAAAGTTCTAAGTAGTAAAAGTAACTTTTTGTTACAGCACTGTTGTACCAACAGTTCATACTGTAACATAAATAAATATAATACAGTTGCCTTTAAGATAGCTGGTTAAATTCAAGCAGGGGTTGATTGAATGGAGTTTGGTGAATGATGGCATTGCCCCTGAATACTGTCCCAGGTCATGCTTCATGACTGCAGCAGAATACCTTAAAAAGTAACACACAGGTTGCATAAAGAAAATCATTACCTCAGTTTCAAGAGGTGCCATTGTAAAAAAAGAAAAAAAAAACTCCACATGGCTGTTCTGACACAGTGAATTAAGACATAACTTTCAGATATAAAGGACCTACATTTACAGTACAATATTGAAATTTTAAATTGGGATGGCAAGTCCTGAAAGTTGAGTCACGTTAATGGTAAGTGAAAGGATGCTGCATGATATCTACATTCACAGTTTTTTTAAAAATGTACAGTACAAACTATAAAAAAAAAAATCGTTTTACAGAACAGTTCCTATACAAGACATGGGAAAGATCATGTCTTGCTCCAGAAATCCTTCCTCTTCTGAGCTCGTTCCAGTATCTGAGATGCAAGCGAGCTAGATGCAGCCGAGCGAGCAGAAATCTGAGACAACCTGTCATCTGTGGGGAAAGCAACAAGGGGAAAAGTCAACAGGAAGATTAAATGTACGTTTTAAAACACAGTTGACATTCATGGCAAACTTTGAAAGTGCAAATATTTTTATGCCCCCTTTCACAACAGATGCTAAAACAGTACCACCATACAGTTCAATTCTCTTACTAGATAGCTGACGTGCTCGAGAGGAATCTCACTAGAAAGCCACCAGGACACTAGGTAAGCTTAAAAGAGCTACATGCCCAACTCCTGACAAACTCCAGAATGAGATCTCTACTGTCAATGCTCCAAGTCATCTTCCCATTTACTGTTCTGTGTCAGAAGACTTTAGAAATCATTCCTCTGGCACTGAAGTCTGTACAGACTAGACTCTGACTATCACATATTCATGAAAGCAACCCACTGCTTCAGGCAAAGCGGACAGCCTTAGAATAATACATGACTAAAGTATCAGAACCTACATTGCTGAAGGAGCCCTTCTGAGCCAAAGCCAGTTAGTGTGCCAAAAGCTGTTAAAAAAAATGGGTTTGCTGAAGAAAACAGGAAGTTTAACACAAAGACAACAAGAAGTATGCTTTTAAAAGTGTACTTTTGAAAGGCCTTCCTTCTGAATACAGGGTCTGCTTCACACCCAGCAGAACTATTAAAATTAAGCAGCCTGGATGCTGCTTCTCCAATAACGTACTTTATACTTCTTTGACATCGTCATTAGTATGTTACTACAGCTCTGTCAAGACGCTCTCTGTGAAAAATGACTTTAATTACATGCATTCTCCTGCAATGGATCGAGAATAACTGTATCACCACTTCCCAGCCCCTGACACAAATAAAAAAAACAACAAAAAAATGCACAGTTCAATTCTAATGGGACCTGTACTTTGTCAGTGTTCAACTAACTTTTCAGCAGCATTTCTAAATTCTTGAAACACAGTGGTCCAAACAGCCCGTGACACGCTCAAGGACTATGCATAACTATACTCCCATGTATGAGAAAACTGGTAACTGCACTTCTGCAAACAGACATGTCATTGGAATAACGCTCAGGTTTGTATGTACATGAACAAATACGGTCACACGAAGTATCTGCGAGATTGCACATGTTTCTGAAAGCTCATAGATAATCACTCAGCTCATAAGGAAAAAAAGCAAAAGAAACAGCAGTTCCAGCACTTAATCTATGTGGAGAATGTTTGTGGGAAGCTGCAGAGTACTATAGGATTTTGCATATTTTATGTAGATACACAGATGCTTGGCTGAGCCATCTGCACAACCCACACATTTTCCAGCCAACTGCAATGAGTAAAACAGAGAATCGGCCTGAACTTTGGTTAAAACCAAGGGGCAAACAAGCATAAGTGGTACAGAAAAAAGCTTTTGGTTTCTCTGTGGTATATTTATAAATACACTGCAATCAGATCTAAGATTGCTCTGCCTATATTCTAATCCAAACCAAACACGAGTGAGTGCAACTAGCACAGCACCACGCCAACCTCAACCTCATGCACCACGCTAAGGAACAACACACAGCAGCCCAAGTTAATGAAGCTGCAGTGCCTTCGGTTGACTCACAATAGTGAAAGAGTTTGTGTCTGTCCACAAAAGGGCCAGGATGCAGTGGTGGGCTGTGCATTGGCTGCTTTCCCAGATTAACTTTAGAGTAAACAGAAGAAACGGCCAAAACAGCAATCAGAGTAACAGAGTGCCTTAAGCACCCCTAGTACACTGAGCAGGGGAACAAGTGTTGGAAGTTAGCAGACTCATCGTATCCTGCGTATCTGGTGGTGAAGTCTCACAAGCAAAACTTTTATCTTAAGATTTTTGGTACTTTTAAAGTTGTATCCAAAGGTACTGCAGCTGCAACCTGGACCGTGATCAATCTGCAGTTTGCTTCTGTTGCTATCAACACAAAGGCTTAAAAAAATGTGTGGGAAGGAAATGATTTTAGGTATGGAACTGAGCAAGCTGTATTAACCATATTGAACCACAGTGGTCTATTTAATTTTCATCCGCTCTTAATGGCTTATTCATATCAGAATATACCTCCAGATTCATACTTCATTGCTAGGATAGAAGTTTTCAAATTATTTTGATGAAACACTGTGGTAGTTATCCATGTAAACACATAATCCCGTATTACTTGCTGCATTCAGAAACAGTTCACATTGATGAAAAAGTTAAAATTAATCTAGGTAATACACACATGATACACAACAATACTTTGGGATGAGAAATACCTTCTTCATTATAGTTTCTTTCCTGAAGGGGTAACTGGAAAGGCCTCACTTTTGGATTACCAAGATTCCCTAAGACAAAAAGTAATATGTGATTTTTAAAATCATGTCAAAATAAGAGAAGGAATAATTCTTCATTTCAGAACATTTAAAAATGTTACAACATTGTTTCCAAAGAATGACTCTTACAAATAGCAAACATACCAAAAACTCCACAAGACTCCTTTACTCTAAGCTGAGGTAAAATAAACTTACTCCACTGTATTCCTATCAAGGTACCTGTCTCTGGCAGATGATAAAAGTCACTTACTGAACTGCACTCAAGGTACAGAGCTAGAACAAGGCACCAATTTTAACCTCTTTTCAAGGAAATCCTCTGGATTTCACCATCCCACTTAATCTGACAACTACATCTTCCACCCTAGAATGGAAATACTATTTTAGTTTAGCTTATCTTCACCATAAAAGGACCAAGAACTGTGGGGCCTTAAGCAGCTACAGAAAGTCTTTCTGGAATGGAGGCTTAAGTACATCAATTTTATTTTGCCTAAATGGTGAAAGATTCTTTTCTTTATCAAATTTATGCACCCAGTACCCCTAGACATTGTTAAAAATCTTTGAAATGCTCCAGCACAAATTCCTCTTCAAGCAAGAAATGGCTGTTCTTAATATCCAATAAATATTTTATAGATGGCTTTTTTTGTTTCCATATCCTGCAGAAATATTTAGGGAGCTTATCTCTCAGAAATCCACAGCTCATCCAAAATAATACTACAGTATAAAGGTCCCCAGTCACATGTTGCTGTGGGAAACTGCAGCTGGAAAAGTGTCACAACATCCAGTTGTCATCTAAAGATAATTACAACTGTTCACGCTAAACTAAATTATTCTCATCATGAGTAAGTACTTGTTGAAATTAATAAGGCAAAATTAAATAACAGACCACCAGAATACAATATTAGTGGAATCTGAAACTAAGGTGAAGAGTAGTGCACATTTCCTCAGCAATACTAAACTTAGAGAAGCTTTTGTTTACAAACACCACATTCTTTGCATAGTCTGTAAGGCAGGAAGCTCAGCACTCTCTTGACCCGAACACTGCATGGTAGCCATTGCTAACTTGCAGCACTCCGAGCACAGCCAGTTAATACACAAACCTCACCATTATGCTGGAATTCTGGATCCTTGAGAGTCCCTTGAATACGAATAGAAGGATTCCAGCAAGGCACAGAACTGCTTTTGGCTGACCTCAGCACAGGAGGTGTAGAGGAATGCTCCCGATGGGCTGAAGCAAGAGGAACTTGCTCATCAGTAACGCTGTTTGGAAGCCACTGATCCTGCCTGAGTGGCAGGGGATCCAAAGTTCCCAGCCCAGCAGGTGGAGAAGTGAGAAGGGAAACAGCTTGCACTTCTGCATGAGGCTAAAATACAACATAGAGAAAGAAATAGAACAAAACAAAATAAAACCCCAAAATCTCATCTACAGCTTTCCAGTACAGATCCTCACATAAGCAGCAAATGTTGGCTTTACACTGTTACACTTCTCATAAGTGTACTCGAAGAGTATTTCCAGCTTGTGAGACAGATTAAAAGAAAATCTATTCCTAATACCAAGTGTTTAACATAGTCTGAAAATAACCCCTTCACATAAAACCAAAAGCTTCTTTTCTTTACAGCAAAAAAAATGTGTTCGTAGATTTTACATCAACATAACTGTGAGGGTGGTGAGGCACCAGAGAAGCTGTACATGTCCCCACCCTGGAAGCGTTCAAGGCCAGGTTAGATGGGGCTTTGGGTAACCTGGTCGAATGGATGGTGTCCCTGCCCATGGCAAGGGGTTGGAGCCACATGGTCTTGAAGGCTCCTTCCAACCCAAACCATTCTGATTCTGTGATCAACTGCTCATGCAATTTTGTCTGCTTCTGTTACAGAACTTACTACATACCATGTATGCAGTGACATGCTAGCTGCCTTTGTACAACACAGACTAAGCAGACCTGGGCAAAAGCCCCACAATTGTGAGAGGAAAACAGTTAACTCCTCCATGTTTCTGTTTTTCTGTTATTAACTATGCAAGCTGCAAAGTAAAGAAACCACAAAAGTAAAGGCAGGCAAGAATGAAACTACTATGGCACATTCACTGACAACTTTTTTTTTAGTTTTAAAACAGATTCTGTGCATTTAGCAGAAAAAGACAAAATGGAGCTCATCCAATCTCACTCCTGTATTCTCAACTCCTTTGCTTGATACCTCCAAAAAAATAATTTATTCAGACACTGGCCTTTTTTAGTGACAGATACTGGGAATTTTAGAATAATAAATGACAACTCAAGAAAAAGGTTTATTAAATACATTATTCACAATTACTTAAAAAGCACATTCCTAAAATGTACAATGTTAAGACTCTTTTCTGGCTCACCTGGAAGGACCTTCTTTTCAAAGCTTCTTTTGCACCTTGCTTAGCTGAAGAAAGGTTTGTTCCTAAACCTCGTGTTCTCTGCTGTGACGATGAAGACCTCGATTTAGGAGGAGACACTAGAACCGCACCTCCTGTTGTAGTGGAGAAGATGAAAAAACACATTATTACTTTAAATAAGCTAATAAATTAATTCATACATGTCTTTTTTTTTTCATTAGTTCTTGAAATACTGCTTTGCATTTAAAGGTCTTTTTACCAACAGCTGGGGTTGTTAGATCATGATGAGTCCTCCGAGCTCCACCAAGAGCTCTCAGCTTTGGAGTAGGAAGCCTGCCGCCTGTCCTCGAAGATACAGAAGAAGAATCTGACACAGCTGCAGAGGAATTCAATACTAAGGCATTCTCACTGGGGAAAAAAAAAAAAAAAAAAAAAGAGAGAGAGAAACAACTAAAGGATTAGCTAAGGACTTGGAAGTCTTGCACTCAAGCATTTTGCTTCAAATTCATCCCTACAGTGAAGCCTAAGGCAAGACAGTTAGGGCCATGAAACACCAACAGCATGTAACTAAAACATCTGCTTGCAATGGGGAGTCCTGGATTCCAGCCCTTGAGCCTTAGCTTCTGGTTTGGGATTCTTTTAATGTAACTTTAATACAAAAACAGTCTCAAGCTGCAAATTCAGGCTTCCTCTGTCCCAACAAACCTGGAATGTACGCTGCAAAGTAGCAGAGGCTCAAGAGAAGGGCTGGAAAGAGTACTCAGACAGAAAAACTTTTAACCTGGTTGCCACCTTAGAGGCAGGAATGAGTTTTGACTCTTTTCAGTCAGTGTGGTGGAACTGAAACCAAGTATCCCACATTTATGTAACCAGTCAAGCCCCCAGGTTATTAAACAAATCAGCACTACCACTTCTGTCTTCTTCCTCCAGATGCCTTTCAGAAGGTGGTTGCGGTGTGCCCACACTGTGCAAGGAGCCTGATCCTCTCAGTGCACGCCAGACAGGCTCCAAGGACAGGCGGGCAAAGAACCCCTCATTTCTAGCTCTCAAACAGGCTCAGACAACAGGCAAGTTTTAAACTGCTCTGCGTGGCCAAGTCCAGCACAGACCTCAGCCTGCATACAACCACACTGTGGGATGACAGAAAATCTTCAGCGTTAATCAGAGACATCTCTGTGAACTAGATAATCTCTAGAATGACATAAAAACTTAAGAAGGTTTTCAGGATGATGGTATTGAAAGCCTGTGTTTAATTTCTATTTCAGTCTAGCAACTCAATCTTTCTCTGCCTGGGTTTTACAGAGAAAACCAAAGGAGACAATTGCAATTCCTTGTGTTCGATTCATGTTGCAACATCAAAGACAAAACCCAATGAAGAATACAAAACGCTTAGATGGTATGGTAACAAGGGCCAAAGTCATTCACATTTAAATATCAACCAAAATATTATCCTACCAACAAAAATATGCAAAACTTGCACAGTAAAAAGCCAGAGGCTTCTGTAACTAGATATAATTTGGAAATGTCAACTACAACGCTATGCAGTGTATTATGCACATATGGAATTGATCTCTCACTGCTTTTAAACAACACTCACCTTTCTCCCACCTGTGCTCAGTAACATAATTACTGGATGCTAGAGATCTTTTTCTCCCCATTCCTCTAACTTCGTCCATGAGGGTTTTTTTTTTAGGAAAACAGATGCTTAAGTACAAGATTAGCATGTATCCTTACCTTCTGGTCCTATCAAACCTACACTGTCCATTTGAAGCAAACCGTGAGCTTTAATTTTCACTGCATTGGGCTGCTGTGTAATGAACAGTCTGTTCTCAGAGGTCCACACCGCAAATTTTAAAGTTTTGGAAAAAAATGTTAGAATTGTTCATGCTTCTACAAACTTCTCTCTTGCAAGTTAGAAATCTAGTATTATTAATGACAGACCCATTTCCAACAACCAGCTCAATATCTTCAACTTTCTCATTCCTTACCACACTGTTAAAAACAAAAGTAGTGTTTAAAATCTGATTTAAAAACAAAAATTAGTTACCATACGAATTTCTCAGATGTTTAAGGAAAAGATTTTATATATATATATATATACACACCCCAAAAAAAAAATGTTCAGTTTTACCCTTCAATTTTCTTATCTTCATTGGCATCCTTATTGTTTTCTTCTAACTGCTGAGCCACAGCTGCAGCCTGTTCATATTGTTTTAACTCCTCTTCTGCTGATTGCTGATTCTCCCTTTCTTCAGTACCTTCTTGTTCACCCCAAACTAAACGTCTTTTGACTGGAACAGTTACAGCATCTGATATGTCTTTCTTTTCAGTGCTCTCCTGGTGTGGCTGTTCTCTAGAGTCAGGTTGCTGCAGCATTTTGGGGCTTGGTGCAGTCTCTTTTTCAGAAACTCTAGGTAACAAAGAAAGCAGTGTTGCATAGCACTGATTTGCAGAATATTTCATCTGGTTCAGTCCTTTGCCAAGACTACAGATCAGATGTTAAAAAGTGGCAGAGCTGACATAATGAATGGTTAAATTTCCAATGAAATTTTAACTGATGTTAAGCACAACCCATTTTCATACTAGACTCTATGAAAACTTTTTCAGAATTACCATTTCCAAAACATAATGTAAAATTAAGGCTCTATTTCCAACTTAAACAACAAGCTATATTTATCTGAAGTGCTCAAAAAATACTTAATTCCATGCATAGGGACTGTCTGATTGCACAAGTTTTAAAGTCAAGCAGTTTAAAAGATTCCTCTTTAGGCACAACTTTTGAAAGCTCTCAACTCCTCACAGAAATCAGTGCAAATTAACCCAGCACACAGAAACGAGATCAGTAAGAGGGTCTGTATTTCTCAGAAAAAAAAAAAAAAAACAAAACAACAAAACAGTATATCAAAACATCTACACCACACTTACTATCACACATTATAGTGTAATAAATACTCCTTTACATGTTACCCCCCAGCCTTTATTAGAGCACATCATAGAAGTGGGTAGGTCTCTTCCACACACAGAAGACAAGTAGTGCATATACAACAGTCTAAGTGGATTACAAACTGAGGCATCCAAGGCACTGTTATTAAATACCAGATGTCAGAGAAGACACAAATCACTTCCATTCCCTCCTTGCTTCAACAATAGCTGTCTGCACGTTTTAATAAAACACCACTTCCAAATTTTTCTAGCAAGAGAGTTAGTATCTTCTAATTCTGATAGCCTTCAAAGAAAGGAGAAAATGGATGTATACCACTCCAGTTCCTAACTCTTTACCTCATTGTCTAGAACTCAACCACAAGATTAATTAATTAAGCCTGATAAGAACACTGATAACATCTCAGTAGGCAAAATATAATTCATATCATTTTAGTGGAAAGAATAGTACTTCAGTATGACTAAGTGCAAAATTCCTCTAGACTTGATGAGACTAAGGATGCCACACTATGCATTTGTGGAGAACTACAAATAATTTCCTCTCCTTTGAGAAGACTGGACCGCACCTCATTTTCAATTTGAGCACATATCAGCTGATGTATCTGTGAAGAAGTAAATGCCGTCATCTGTTCTAGAGAATTTATATATCATAGAGTCATGGAAGAGCCCTTGTCGGAAAGGTCTTCGAAAGACTACCTGGTCCAACGTTTCTTGGGGACAGAGAGCCTAGATGAGATTAGCACCCTGTCCAACTGTATCCTCAATAGAGTCAAATGTCCAAGATCTGAAGATATGCTTGGTCTGTATTCAGCATGTGGCTCTGTTTCAAAGCTACAAAGTAATAGGCAGGAATGACCACCTTACCCAGCAAGATCCAGTGCTCTGATGTTGTTGCTGATGCCTTCTTCTGAACTGGAATTTGAAGACACATCCCAAAGACTGTTATTATCAGACAGGATCTGATTGAGATGATATCGGGAGAAGTGTGTTCCCTCTACTCGTTCTCTGTAAGCCTTTGCTCTTTCTCGAAGTTCTCTCACCTGCACATCAAGGTTTCATAAGTTGCATGTCTGTTTAAATTTCACTAACAGGCTATAATATTACAACGTATTTGCATTAGCTAATGGCAGCTAAAGGAGAAAAGCAAGTTACTGATAATACAGGGCTACCACAGCACAAACATTGCATGCCGCAGTAAATGCAACAAAAGGAAAGCAAAAATAACAAAAGTGTATATTTAGTAAGCATGTTTGAGCTATGAAGCCAAAGCAAAATTGTCAATTACTCATTCAATAAGCACAAAAATTTATGCAGCAACTATGAATAAGTTTAGTGCTGGATACTAGTTTTTCTATCAGTGCTCAGACACAGTGCTCCAAACATTGAAACAGGAACTTAGATGCAACCAACCTCCATATACCACATGGAATTTAGGGTGTTTTGAGATGCCTAAGGAGAGGAATACAGAATTATTTTTAATATTCTTACTTTTCTCTCAATACTCTATTGTTACTATCACCCTTGTTACTTTACTTCAGTCTAAGTAAGAAAAGAAATACTAAAAACCTGTCAATGTAGCTCTATGCTGCCTCCCTGAGATTCAATAAAAAGCTGTAGAAGAAATGCATCAGCACTGGTATTTCACCAGTTTCTGACAGCCCTGAAGGAGGCAATTTAGATTTCTAAGCCTTAACACTCAAAAATACATTCACCACACAAAGCAATTTATGATTACTTCAAGACAACAGATCTGTGTGCCTGTATAATACTGAGTTTGTATGCTGTGAACACTGCAACTATCTGGCTACGTTTATCTTATCTCAGTGAGCATCTGATGATTACATGACACCTCTTGGTGGTATTCTATGTATGACATATTATCAAAATCATTCCTTCTAGGCTATCAGTAATTGTAATAATGAGATGTCAGATTTAGTCTTAAAAAAAAAAAAACACGTGAGAAGCTCTCTCTTTAGACATTATACTGCTGAACTTACACTCTATTTTTTATGGTTAGAACTGTTTCAACACTCACACTGTCTTGTGTCCTTCAGCCAAACACAAAGTGCAGGAAGAAAAAGCAACAACAAAACTTCTGTGCTTAATTGATCAAAAATAACTGTGAAGTTGTTGTGTGAATTCTGTCTCACTAAAAAAATGGTTCACAGACAATAAGTATTTGGTCAAATATCAGGAAATACTGGCACCTCCTCTAGCACATTTTCATGGCTTTTCTTAGTTATTCTTGTTTCGTGCTAGACTTTGCATCGTTCTTCCTGCAAGGAACAGAGTTAAGTGGGCGAAATTCCACTAAACCCACTAAAAGTAACTGGATGCAGCAGATGCAAATCCACATAGCCTACACCAACTAACGTTCCACAATTTGGCCCACTAAACTTCCAAAGAATAACCCATGAAAAAATACATACTTGTCATTCTGAGAGAAAAGTTTAAAGTTTGTGGTGCAAGTCATCTACTGGACTATTCACTCTAAGCAGAAGAATGAAAAATTAATTATGATAGCCTCAACAGAAGGACTATAAATCCAGAGCAAAAGGACGCTGCAGGGGGAGGAAGAATACTATGTCTCCAGTGAATTGTGAAGAAGTACAAAGGACAATGGTCTCCTCCAGTGACTCAGCAGGCAGCCTTCTCTCAGCAGGACACAAGCCCTAAGGAGTCCTACTGTGATTATTAATTGCCCACATTCATTTTTCAGAAGCATAATTCAGAAAGACTTCTTCATTCGACTTGCTGAAAAGCAACCCTTAATAACACACTGTAGAGTAGCAGGCTAGGTAGGAGTAATCACTAGGGCTAAGGTCACACCAGGATTCCATTACAGTCTCTGCCCGTTTGGGCTCAGAACTTCAGAACATCTGCTTTGGACTCACAAGTGTGGTCCCAACTAGGGGAGAAATCAGTCAGGCTTATCATCTAATCACTTAGGCAAATGCTGTTCTTCAGGTACTTCCAGCAGGGGTAAGTCTCAACAATACGTTAGGGGCAGAGCTTAGATTTGGCTTTGAAGAACATTTCTCTTCATGTCAGTATGGCAACAGGTAGGGAATCATGTGGGAACCAAAAGGACTGTTGAGCAGCCTATACTGTCAATGGTCAAAATACCTTTGTTGGTTTACAATAAAACCAATGCACTTGACACTTCTCCCAAGTTCTGCACACTTTCATTAAATCTACTCCTAACACATTTGTCAAATGGCTAGATTCTTTCTTATGTCTCAACCCCGAATTAAATATTTTATTCAGTCCTACTATTTTAGCCATGCTGGATCCTATCCTGCAGTTCTTAGAACAAAAATATTGATGAATGTTAAAAAAAAAAATCTATAAAAATAAAAAAGAAGCCTAGCTAAGGATCAGGTCTATCAGGATTCTTATTCTTATATTAACAGATGTTATAAGAATTAACCTAGGTTTTCTTTCAACCTGTCTTAGAGATCAGAAAATTCTAAGCCTTAATACTTCTTTGTTTTCACTACATCCACAAAAACCTTCTTTATGACGAGTTATAACTCTAAATTATGTATATGGAAATACTAACAATGGCAAATAAAGTCTCTATATAGCAAAAATTCCACACAGGATCACATGTGCACAAGGTAAATAGCATTCTTTATGTACTAGCAAAACTAGTTTGAGAAGCTGTACTGGGTTTGGCTGGGCTAGAGTTAGTTTTTTTCAGAGTAGCAGGTATGGGGCTGTGTTCTGGATTTGTGCAGAAAACAGTGCTGGTAAGACAGGGACATTTTCAAAATTGCTGAGCAATGCTTACACAGCACCAAGGTCTCTTCCGCTCCTCACACCACCCCACCAGCAAGCAGGCTGAGGGTGCACAAGCAGCTGAGAGGGGACACAGCTGGGACAGCTGACCCCAACTGACCAAGGAGATGTCATAGACCATATGACGTCATGTGCAGCCTATAAACCTGGGGGAAGGAGGAGGAAGGGGGGGACATTAAGAACGATGGTGTTTGTCTTCCCAAGTAACTGTTATGCACAACAAAGCCGCGCTCCCCTACAGATGGGTGAACATCTGCCTGCCTGACGATGGGAAGGAGCAAATTAATTCTTTATTCTGCTGTCCTTGCATGTGCAGCTTTTGCTTTGCCTGTTTTAACTGTCCTCATCCCAGCCCCCAAGTTTTCTCACTTTTACCCTTTTGATTCCCCCCCATCCAACTGGGGAGGAGTGTGTGAGCTGCTGTGTGGGACACAGGTGCCTACAGGGGTTAAACCGTGGCATATGCTCACAGGCATATGATTTAAGACAGAGGTAAGAAATTCAGGTAATTCCAATTCTAAAAGTCTCTTCTATATGAACACACACTAGGATCTAATGCAGGTATGCATAAATAAAAATGTGTGTGTAATCTAAGCACATTTGTCATCAATAAAACATTATTATGTAGTCTTCAAATTAATTTGGCTCCTCCAGCTACCCAGCACAACTCCTTCATTTAGAAGGCCCTAAAAATCCCAATAGTTCTTTCCTGAATTCTTCATTCCCAAGTGACTTATTTCTGGTTTCCTCTGCAATACCCTGTCAGCAAGAAAATCACCACGGAAAAGTCAGACACATCCAAAATACATATCTACAGTGGGTAAATTTTTTGGTTTCTCACACATTCTAATTAAATGCTGCATATATTTACCTCCTGCATCTCCCAAACATGCCCCAGAAAGGATCTTGCTTGGTAAAGCAGAACACCCATCCTTCACCTGCAGTCTCCTCATTCTTTCCTTTGACTCTGCTGCAGTGTCTCCCAGCTGGCTGTGCCACAAACACAATCTACTCCAAAGCAATGCATCCCTTCCATTCACCTGCCTGCCAGTCACTTGCTCTTGAAGCTGAACACTGATCCTGACTGCTCTGAATGCTCCTGACACAACAACCAGTCTCCAGACAAAAGCCTCACATGCCAGAGAAATGAGATAATACTCTACAGAAACATTCTGTATACTGCTTACAGTCAGGCTGCATGCAATAGTTTAGGTTATTATACAGCCTTAGTGATGGTAAGACTAAGTCTAATATATATATACATATATATATATCAATACATATAAAAATATTGCTTGGTTTTAGTCCTCCAACATCCTCATGAGACTCTCCTCACAGAATGGATTATCGCACACATGCACACACAAAATATGATTACGAATTATCTCAAATCACAATATACTTTAAACTTTGAAACCCAGTTCCCCATTCAGTACTCCCTACTTATTTAGCATATGTTTCTTTTTGCCTAAAAAGAGAAAATTACTTGCTAGTCCCTGTTCATTGAGAAAACATAAAACTGAATGCTACCACACTGCTCCTGCAATTCCCAGAAAATGTTATTTCCAAAATCTCAAAGCCCAATACCCTAGAGCCATCCACTCCAGTTCCATCTTCCACATCAACTTCATCCCAACTGATGAGGAAATCTACATTTTCAAGTCTGTGCCACACATTTAGCATCACGCAGTGTCTCATGAAGGTTCCCTCTATCAGCTGGGAGAAGCCTAAAGTCAATTCAGTGAAATCAGGCAGTTGCAGAACTAGCTAGCTCTAGCAGTTTCTAAGCACACCGCTAATGGGTTTGATTTATTTAACTAATTCAGGAAAACATAACCAATAATACTGCTACGAAATCCTGTGGTCCTAAAGCTGTTTAGCATTTTCAGAGTTTTGCCAAATGAGTTCCTAATCAGAATAATACTGACTACAGTTACAAAATAAACTAAACAAAAATTCTTAGACTGGCTGAAACTTGGAAGGGAAACTCTTAATTTTGTGCTATGAATTCAGGTGACTACTTTGAACGGATTCAGCATGGTGAGTTAATCAACTGATCTTGACTATTAAGCTGACCTAAGCTGATACATATATTGGCCTTTTCCTTTTATTCCCTTGGAATCCCCTACTATCCAATTATGCATTTTAAAAACTTATGCTTGTTAAAACTGGGCTGAACATCAACACTGAGATTACCTACTCCAACAGACCCTGTTCTGGATTACTCTTCTTGTAAGGGAAACAAAACTCCCCCATCACTTCAGATGTCACAATATGTTCTTCAAGTCACATCACCTCTTATTTTTTTCTTGCTGTATATTATATTGTCTCATCAGAATCTAATAATCTTTGTACACTCACCTTTTGGAGCTTGAGTCATTAGCATTACAACCACAAAACTCTGATTGATAAACACAATTAAGTTTTTTGTATCTAAACATCAAAATACAAAGCATACTCAAGCTTCAGATTTTTTAAGAATACTCACCTCACTGTGAATTTTACTCCTAATACGAGACCAAGCTCCATCTTTGTAGAAATACTGGGCTGGAGACAAAAATTTTGACCTATATTCAGTGTTCATCCTCCTAAGAAATCAAGAATGAGGAGAGGAAAAAAAGACAGAGTAAAGCTTGATATCCAGAACACTTGTTAAAAGCACTTTTAAAATTGTATCTACTCTTATAAGTATACTTGCTCTTAAATGCCAGGGCTGAGATGTGAAAAACAGATGCTTTGAAACACAGCTCACCCCTACCAACACAACTAGGAAAGCTGTGAAGAAGCTCATTCACAGTTGGTGGTTCTTCAAGTAGTTACTCCTGTTGGGTTTTTATCTCATAACCCTTTGGCCAGAAGCTTTTGCCCTTGACAGCCAAATCAGCAGAACACAGCACAAACACAAGCCTCGACTACTTCCATGCAAGGTGCAGCGTTTCCTTTAAGTTACTGATGAAGGTGCTTTCAAAAAAAAAGAAAATGCCTGGTTTGGCACTGATGTGTCTGTGACATTTCCTTCTATGAACTCCACTCTAAAGACACTCTGCATATGGGTGGGGTGAACTGCTGGGGCTAGAAACATCTGACTACCAGAACAATGGTCAGTATAATTCATCTAACCACGTCCTACCAGCTTTGATCTTCCAAAGGCCTCAGGACTTGAAAAGATGAATTCATTTTCCTTTCTGCCACACACATAGATACAGAAGAATTAACACCATCTAACCTATAGCAGGCAACATGCAATATTTCAAGTCTTTAAGCATGGAACTGTGGATTTATCAGCTTAAATCTACAAAGGTTTTTGTTTTTAGTCTTCCTTGAGAACTTTAGTAACTGTATTTTAATACATTCAGCATATTGCACATTTTGACAGCTCTTTGCCCAGTGACTACTCTGAAAACTTTTGTGCTACCATACTGAAGGCATAACAGGCAGAAATCTGGCCTTAAATGAAAAAAGTCATAGCAAATGATCAAGAATTTTACACACTATTCACTGCAAAATTGACCACCATCTAGTACATCAAAGAGACATGAAAACCAAAGAGTTAAAGGTTTCAACTACACTGTATCCACTCACTTTTTCATAAAGCAATTTTATTTCATAGAATTTTGGGTGATCTACCTCCCAGTATCCAACAGCATTCAGACCTAGGTAAGTCTCCTTGCCCATCTTTAAACTAATTCCTTCACACTGCCAGAAAGTCATGTGACTTCAAGCAATCACTGGGACGCACATTAGGCACAAAGACAGCAGAAATAGATTAATTTATGCATTCTAAAACCTAAATCCATTATGGGTTTTTATTTCTCTTGGCATATCTGAGATGTGTAGCAAATGCAAACACAACTGCATTTCCTATAGCGTAGGTAGGTGGCAGAAGAAAAAGGTACTTTGACAGCACTCAACAACCTACAATTTCAGTTTATTTCCATGCTGGTCAGATCATCCTACATGGGACAGGTTTCTTTACTTCCCTTTATCTCCTGTTTTCCTTTTGTTACTCTGGGACAGAAGGTGGCACAGACTACAAAAAGCAGACATCGAGTACAACTATCACAATTTTAAGGCATGGAGCAAGCACAGGAGAGTCGTTTGAAAGAGACTAAAACTTCCAAAGCAATTGCTGTAAGTTTCATAGCAGCACTGCACCAATTTAATTTCATTCATGTTAAATTTATTAATAGTGTTATTATTTCATCAGAAATTTCAACTCAGTTGAGTGTGGTTAGAAAGCTTCCACTTCTGCTACTCGAGAAGAGGATAAAAATTAAGACCAGGTTTGGATGTACCCACAGGAGGCTCAATCCCAGCTCTGCACGGGGGCATTCACCCCTGCAACTGTTAGCACAGTGTGGTTGAAGGTCCATCACCCACCACTCTGAACTCTGGGCTGCTGTACACCTATTCACTAGGCTACATTTTCCTATTTTATACATACCCACGACTTGTATGTAAAGAGAGAGGCTTTGGACTGATATGTTGCTTATTTTTTTGTTTAGGATGTTTCTGTTCTGATTTCCCTTGTTTTGCTGCATCTTCTGCTGGCTTTTGAAATGGTTCTTTCCTCTTACTCTAAGGCAAAGATAATTTTAAAAATACCTCATTAGCTATCAATCTGAAAAAAAAACATATTGCTTTTGAAATCAAGCTTTTGCAAAAAGTTAATTTTATTTTAGTGCTAGCTGTTTTGCATATTTAATACAAACAAGAATATTACATTCCTTTGTTAATACAAAAATCAACTAGCAAAATGTCAAAGCTAAGATTTTGAGTGCAACATTCAGTTAGTCAGATGATCCATTTCGTACACTTTACAAAATTAATTTAACATGAAACACAGAAATAAAATACAATACCTGCACACTCTAACCTGAGTTGTATAAGACTTAACATGTATACTTCTGGAATTTATAAAATATTTTTTAAACAAAAACTCTTTAGATTTATAGTCAAACCAAAATGCACATTTTTAATTTGCTGCCATTCTGGTTTATAAAGGGTCAGATTGACTTGTTCTGTTTTCACATCAAAGAATTTTTTTTCCTGCTTGTTTTATTCTCTTGGAAATCTCATGCACAATTTCTGATTCTGCTAGAGATCTTCACAGGTATCAAATTCAAGAAGGAAAAAAAAAAAAGACAGAAAAGGAAAAAGAAAAGCCCACCAAATTCCCCCAGGAGCTGTTTTGAAGTATTTATCAAAGAATAGATATTGGTACAAGCAAAAGGTGGTTTGGACACCTTTTAGACACCAAAATTCCGTTCTCGTGCCTTCTCTTCCTTCACTTTATTAGCTCTCTTGGGAAAACACAACCTGAATTTCCAATATTAAAAACAAATAAATGCTTCCTGAAAGCCTCATGCCTATCAAGCTTCCTTCACATCTGCCAAGAGTAAAAAGGGGATATAAAATTCCTCATTCCCAGATGAGATTGAAAGCATCAGGTAGGTCTGAAGTTTAAACAATAAAGCCTCCAAGCCAACAATCATCTTTAAGAAACTCAAAAGCACCAATGGCTTAAACTGAGGCACAGGCACTCTATGCTAAGTAGGTGTTTTGCTCAGTAATGGGCCTAGTGAACATGTCATCCACCTATGGCTGTTTTACCATGGAACAGAGATGAATGGGTACTGAATAGACTCAGATGTGGTCCTTCTGCCAGAAGGATTGCTACAAAAATTCACATTCATATGTCACTCACCTTGCAAAACAGGTTAGCTGTCACACAGTCTAAATTGCTCTCACCCATGATTAGAAGGTCTCAGTCAAAACAATTCTATTTCATTACATGTATCTGGTAAAACGGCTGAAGCCATGTTTGCTAAACAACCACAGCCATGTTTCCTCAAAGTCTGCTTAAGTTTGTCCAAGCCAACCCCAAGACAAGGAAACGCAAGGCCTCAGGCAGCCACATTACTTGCATAAAAAATATACTAATATTTTGAACTGAGAAACAGAGCCTACATAGTCTACATGATGTCCTGTTACAGCACTGTCCTAAATACAATTACTTACCTTTTAGCTTATCAAGGCAAAGGGAAATGAATTGTAACCCTTCCTCCATGTTTCTTCCTATTACAACTACTGGCTCAAAATCAGTTCCACTTGTGGCAACAAAGTGTTTCTTTAAATTCACACTGTTTGATATATGGGATCCAAAAAGTTCCAGACCTCCCAGCCCTCCTGCATACCAAGAGACTATGCTGGTATCAATGAGAACATAAATCAGGGATTTAGATTTCAGAAACTACCTTAATGACTAAAACCAAGGTTTCGATTTTAAAAAAAAAAAAAAAAAAAAAGAACCCATCTGAAAACATATAAATTAAGGTGACAGGAAAAAAAACACTTAATGTCATTGTAAACTGAACAAATAGGTTACAGAAATAACAGAACCCACTACAGAACTCCCTAAGAGCAAAGAGAGCTGTACAGTGTTTTTTTTGTCTTTTAGAGCAAACCCACTACTGAGTCCAAGTGTCATTAGCAACAGCTCTTAAATGTAACTAAACAATTTCAAAATAAACCCACCCCTGCATTATAGAAAAGAACAATCAAAATTATAGAGGTATACTAATGTCTTTCCTCTAGGAAAATATTTAATTGTTCACAAACCATAAATTCTTTCTCTTCTGAATGACCATCCTCTTGAGGACCCTTAACAGGAAGAGGCTCTTTGGAATTCCTCTCATATGCAGTTTCAGAAGTAATTGCAGGAGATTTAAATGGAGGCATGGATTTACTTGTGTTGCAAATAACCTTGGAGGGAAATAAAAAAAAAAAAAATAAAAAAAAGAGTGTGATTTTCTTACCTTAAGGCTAAATTTTCAAAATCAGTTAACCATTCATGCAAACGCACTCACACATGAGCAGAGAACAGACACGTGTACAAATGTAGCTTGTGCAGACTAGCTTCAAGGACAAATTGAAGAGAAACAATCTAATAAAAATAAATTTAAAAGTGATCAAGTGGTCACCTGTGGTCAAACACTGTTCTTACCGAAGTTCACTAAGAGAGGCTCTGTTTATTTAGGATGACAGCTCACCTTCAGAGTTGTATGTAGGATCATACTTTTTAAAACTTCCCCATGAGTCCCCAGAACATGTGTTCAGTCCATCAGTAACAGAGAGCTGTTCAGCTTAGGTAATCTGAGCAATCCACTATTTTCCAATCAAGAATGTATTATAAATGAAGAATTTGCCTAATATGTGGTAAGGTATCACCTCCTCATGGGGTGCTGAATTAAAAGGTCATGCTGTAAGTCACAAGCACACATTTTCCCCAGCTTTGCTATGACAGATTAGGTCTGATTTATAACCTAAACTGAATAATTGTTAACTATATACTAAATATAACAGATAACATAAAAATGATAAAAATGAAGGATAATATTAAGTAGTTTCTTAGAGCTCCTAAAGTAAATTAATGCAAACAGAAGAAAGTGGCCGCCTTAGAAAGGATGGAATAGAACCAGTGAGAAGTGAGTAATTAGACTTGGCTACAACAAAAGAATCACAGGAAAACAAATCTAATTATACTGCACTTTTGTATATTGCAAGCAGGGGAAAAAAAAAATCATGTAACAATATTCAAAGTTTTTGTTCCCTTGCCAAAAGAGGAAGAAGGAAATCTTGGAAGGTAAGCAGCTTTGCTTACGCATAAAAACACCGATTTCCTTTTCGCATTCTTTACAGTTACCTGTTCAGCTGCAAGTATTGGGGACTTTTCATGAGGACTCTTCCAAACAAATTGGCTTTTATATTCAGAATTTCTGGGGAAAGTATTGACGTGTGAAATATTCAATCCTGCTTTCTTCTCAATGCCTCTGTGAAGCTGACAAAACAGAAAAAGAAAAAAAATACTGATTGCTCCCTTTCCTACAATGTTTTCCAAGCCTGACACCTTTCAATGCACAGTTTCAAACCAATGGTTTTAGTTTTGGTTCTATGAATTTAATGAATGTGAAGTACATTTTCTAATTATAGCCAACTGCCCCCAAAAGCCTATATATTATTGACTAAATCCTTGTTTAAACTAAATCAATAGTGATGGCTCATAAAGGGCAGATTTCTGTCGACCCAAGTGGAGCAAAAATCTGGTCTCAAAAGTACCGTTATCCCAACAGAGAAGCTACAACATAGAATATCAAAATGCAGAACTAAGGAGAGAATCAGACAACAAAGGCTGCTGTACATGTATGAAATTAAGTATCAGATTATTAATTTTTATACTGGTCAATTAAAAAAAAAAAAGAAAAGAAAAAAAGAGAAAACTCTCTTACCCCATTACCCGTTTTTTCCAGTTCCCTTTTTGGAGATGAAAATGCTTCATTTTGATTTGGTGGATCTGCAGACAGTGATCTCTTCATGTTGTTTTCTGCAAGAACATGAGATGTTTCACCTCTAGAATCTACAGAATGTGATGAAACTTTTGGAGGAAGCCTGGGACCTTCTGGCATTCCAATTTCTTCCTGATTCACATCATTGTTGTTGTGGTCTGGGTGCCCCTCTGCAGTTGTAAGAGCTTCGGTTTCAACTGGGTCATTCATATCACAATCTGCCGTCCATTCAAAGGACTTTGAAATTTGTGGACTGTGGTAAGGTACCCTTCTCTTGGAAATGAAGTTGGGTTCTCTTGTGATTCCTGAAAAAGACATATTAGGTTTAACATCAACATTCTGTTGAAGACATAATAGCATTCTATTACAAGAATAAACCGAAAGTTTACCATACAATTCATTACTAGGAAAAAAAAATTCCTTAGTATCTCTGAGCAATGATAGCCTATAAATTCAGGGCACGGCTGTGAAATTCTGTCTTCTCTCTATCTACAAATGCCTTTCCTTTCCATTGAAGGGAGATGGGAACATGGTGCTCCAGGACCATGCTGGATAAAACCCTATAAAACAAATATGGCCACAAGACAATTTTCTGCAAGTCGATTCTGGCAGGTGAACGACAACAACAGAATAAGCACAGACAGTGAAAAGAATGGGGTTAACACAGACATAGAACAACCAGCCTGCAGTGATAAAGTGCCACGAACACTTCTTATTACACAAGCACAATACACCCGGCTAAACGGTTCTCACCAACTGTGATAGGACAGGGACAGATCCCTATCCATGCAATACAACTGGGATTTAACACCATCTCACCTGGCTGGTGACCTTTTACAGTACGAACACAAAATCACTGCCAAAATTGTGAAAGGACTACGTTACCTTAACACCAGGTATCAAGTTATTTTAAAGAATTACTGGCCTTTACACACGCAGATGAAAACCAAATTACCCCACCATTTTAATAAGAGGATTGAATGAACACATTTAAAGTGTGAAATCATAATCCAACTGCAATGTGCTCAGCCGTAATGGAAGAAAAAAGAATGAGGGCCCCTAACTGGCTGAAAGAAACACTTTTCAGGAGAGAGAGAAACTCCTGTCTCGTGAAAAAACAATGCAGAGAAAACAACCTACGGTGGGAGGTATACAGACTGTCTGGATGTCCAACTACACATACAGGTGGTAGGGAATAATTCCAGTGGAAAAACACTGGAAAAGTAGCAGGAAGAAACTCAGAGCACCTGCAGCAGTTATTTTGTGGTGATGTTCTTAAAACTGCCAATTACATGTTTCAACAGGAAGAGCCATAAGTGAATTATTAATAACAATCTGCAAGTCCTATGAGGTGTCAAGAGTGGCATTTGAAATTGTAGGTTGTTAAATGGCCAGAAAAGAGGTGGCAGTGAAAATGAATGCAAAGATGTAGGAAAACTATACCAAGTATGCACAAAACCACCACTATAACATAAGCAGGAGGAGAAACTGTTGTATTGCTAACTTAAAACTCTATTGCAAGTCTTGTCAAATATGCAGTTTAGTTTGACTGGAAAAGAAGCCTAGATTTCAATTTTAAAAAGAAGGTGATGTGTTTGGATGCTTGGGTTTTCATAATCCATAGAAGTTACATTCTTCCATACTGGTACCCATACACAGGTCCATGTGCCAGCGAAAACAACATTAAAGAAATGTATCTTTCACAGTAAGAGAAGAAAGTGGTAATATATATAAAGCATCACCTTTATAAAGATTAAGCTATTTATTAAGACATCTGGCATCTCGATCAAAACCAAACCCTACTTCTAATGTTCAGTTCTTAATTACTAGGTTGTAATTTAGAACACTTACCATATTGTAGGAATGAATATACTGGATTCTAATTACACAGACTGCATAGGGTGCTTGCACTGAATTGCACAATTTTGTCCATCTGCCTTGTGCCACTACAATAATTTTTATTTTTTGCTGCTCCTTTTCAAAGGTCTGAAGTTGTCCTCACTCTCCAGCTCAGTCCTATTCCCCAGCTCCACACAGGCCTTTCAATCCAGATGCTTTCCTTTGTCTTCTACCTTCCAAACCTACATCTTCTCACCATGATAGTGTCTACAACCCATAACTCCTAGACTACAGCAACTCAAGCTTTTCTGTTTAATCTTTTTGTTGTTGTTGTTTGTTGTGGTGAGCAGAGCCCGCCCTAGGCAGGGATCATCGGGGTGCGGAAGATCTCGCGATGTAACGGAAAGCTCAGACTGCCCACGAGGGGCCTTGTGGGTGTGGCTTGTGCTATATAAGCAATTGCAGCAACGCAATAAACGCCATTTGCAGCATCCTTCACATTGAAGCCAGTGTCTGTGATGGCACCCAACGGTAGAGGTTGGGTGGCAGCTATCCCGGGGATCGGGTGTCGGTAACGGCAATTGTTTGCTGTCCCTCTTAGCCTCCATAATAATTTTACTTTGTATCAAACTTTGTCCCAAATTAGCCTCCTCTTAAACACAGAATTTTACTTACTGTTTCCACACACCACAGGTAACCCAATGCCTCCTTCTACACACCCAGTATGGGTTAACATTGCAGCTGCACTTCATGTTCGGGACTCAGCTTACGCTGCATGTCAGAAACCACCTATTTTTCAGGTCACATGTAAATAGCACTAACATTAAAAGAAAGTTTCAGTGTAGCACGAAAGAACGTATTCAAAAACATACTGTAGATGACAAGCAGGAATATACTTTTAACTGTATAAAGTGCACAAATGGCAAAGATTACCAGTTCAATGGGGCCAGCAAACCTCTCTAGGCCTCCTGCAGCCCTGGCTCATCCTCACCACGGCTAGCTTGGATAGCACCAGGGTTTGAAACCAAGGGGGCAAGCTTTCAGGGGCACTTACCAAACTGATCCGACCGAAGTCCTGCCCACAAGGATTTCTGCTGTCGGGACGGGCTACAGAACTGTGGAGTTTTCCACTGGAAGTTTCTCTTATATTCGCTCAGGCCCTGCAGCAGAGAGGGGTATCTGTTACACTACCGGTGCGTTCCCTGCTTCCCCGCTGCTGTTGGTAACGCATCTCCAAGAGGAGAAATGCCAACAAGGCCGGCATAGGGCTCAGCTAAGCTAGCAGGTTGCTCGGCATCTTCCAAACCCACTCCCATGGAACCGCAAAAACTACTGCCCTGCAGAAAAAGCGTGCAATAGCTTCATGCACCACAAAGCACGAAGAAAAAAAAAAAAAAA